GATATTTTCGGGAAACGGGGTGCAAACTAATAAAGAGTACATAAATGCAATAATAAATATGCCAACCCCTCAGTCAAAACCAGATGTTTTGAGATTTTTAAACATGGTGAAATTTGTTGGCAAATTTGTGCCCAATTTATCGAAGGTAACTGCCCCATTACGAGATTTGACCAGACTTGATGTTGAGTGGCAATGGACAGATCAGCACCAACAATAGAGAGTTCTCGTGCTATCCAAATTTCAAATACCGTAACTTTATTTGACAACTATGACAGTTCTTACGGTATTAGCGTTAGCGGAGTCCGCTACGTAACGGAAGTTAGCGGATGCCTTACCGTAACGCTATGCTATGTAAAAATTAGTTTACGCTCCATTTACGTCTGCAAGAACAACAACTTCTAATAATTCCTCCATAAAAAACACCAGGAAAAATTTACCAAACTCAGAATCTTCAGGATAAATAATAAGTTAGAAAACAAGGAAAAAAAGTTGGGTTAGATCACTCAACTCAGCTGTTAAAATGTAAACAGGATAAGGGATTGGAGGATTTTCGTGTCTTCGTGTCCGAGAACTATAAAATACTATGTAAAATACCGTATTGTAAGCGGTACCGTATTAGCGTAGCGTCTGAGGCACGAGAACTGTCTAATCTGTTGAGTTGATCAGTTAAAAAATTTCTTACCACATTCTCCTGTTCTAGCATTCTTTAACTCAAAAAAGCCCATAGAGAAAGAAACGGATGCTTCTAAGGATGGTCTTGGAGCATGCTTACTACAGGAAGGTCAGCTTGTAGCATTTGCTTCTCGCAGTCTAACAAAAACTGAGCAGAGGTATGCCCAGATTGAAAAAGAGACTCTAGCTATCTGGTATGCAGTCAAGAAATTCCACTATTTTATTTATGGATTTCCCATCAAAATTCATAGTGATAACAAGCCATTAGGGTATATTTTTCGAAAAGAGCTGCAATGTAGTTCTCCTAGAATTTTGAGAATGCGTTTAAAACTACTGAATTACGATCTCTCAGTTTACTACAAGCCTGGCAAGTATATGTATATTTCAAATACCTTGTCTAGGGCCTTTTTGAGAGAGAATAATTTGGAATCAGTGAGTAGGTAATGATTTGGAATTTGCTGTCCATTCCCTTGTCAACCACACCTCTATGTCTGAAGAACGTAAGAACCAATTTAGGCAGGAAACGTATAATGACCCACAATTAAGAATGGTTTTGGGGTTCATTGCCAATGGATGGCCAACCCAAAAATATAAAATCCCTGAAAGTGTTCGTCATTTTGCATGTGTTGAATAAACCAAAGCGCGAGCCCGTAACATTTCTTATTGGCCGGGATTGGCAATGGATGTTGAATCATTTGTTGGGTCATGAAAATCATGCGAAAAATATGCCAAAAGAAACTCTAAGCAGACTCTACTATCTTATCCCTTGCCAAGTAGACCATGAGAAAGGGTTGCTTCTGACATATTCACATACGCTAGTGAGAGTTATGTTATTTTGTTTGATGCCTATTCAAACTGGTTAGATCTTGTATGTGATAATGTTCCCTTCAATAGTGACAAATTCAAAATGTTTAGCAAAGATAGGAACTTTAGTCTTATATTTCGGAGCCCATACTACCCACGATTAAATGGATTAGCAAAAAAAGCTGTTTCAATGTCAAAAAATTCAATAAAAAAATCAATGGACAAAACAAACACTGTTGACTTACAATCTGCATTAATAAATTATAGGAATTCTCCATTGAAAGGAATGGGATATTCTCCATCACAGCTATTAAATAGTAGGGTATGTAAGACTGAGGTGCCAACTTCTGCAGATTTATTATATCCCAATATATGCCAAAATGTCATGGCAAAAATGCAAGCTAATGCTAAAAGAAAATTAAATGAAAAATATTTTAATAAAAACGCCAAAAAATTAAGGCCCCTGGAGGTAAATGGTGATACAAGTGTATTTGATCATATCTCTAATACTTGAAAGCCTGCCAAAATTGTAGGTATGCATGAATCACCGAGATCATATCTCTTGCAGCATCCAAATGGCAGCATCGTTAGAAGAAATAGATATGATATCAGACACTCAGAAATTCCATTTTCCAACAGTTGTGATCCTCACGATCATGATGATCTAAATGCAGGTTCTTCTAATGATGTTAACAATGGTGTAGAACCCTTAATTGGTATAAAGCAGGAACCCATATATACTCCCATGCATGCTGCTCCTCAGCTTAGTGAACCAGTCCCCCTTGACAGCTCTAATGTTGCTATCCCACGCTCGGGTCGTTGTGTAAAAAAAAACAAACTAAATCTTTAATTTAAAATAATAATAATAATAATAATAATAATAATATTTAAAAAAAAGAGCTGAGGGGAAGGATGTATAAATATGGTGCCTAATCAGTCTAGTGTAAAATCACTTTAAGCATAATTAATAAATATAGACATATGACAACCAATAAGACAGCAGTAGCTGACGCAGATATAGTACGGCAAAAATAATCACATTTGTTGTGGAATGTGATTTAACCAACAGGATAAAGTAACTTGTGAGAAATTAATAATATCTGAGTATTTATTTATTTTATCCTGTATTCTGCATCAGCATATAGTTAGGGATCATACACAGGGTGTTTCCGAAAGGGTGTTACAAACTTCAAGGGCAGATACTATATGAATATAAGTAAAAAAATTCATATGGATATAGGTCCGGAAACGCTTTGTTTCTAAAATACAAGTTTTTCAAAAAAAATTAATTTTTCATTAATAGCCGATTTCAATGAAATTTTCACGGTTTATTTCAATCATTATCAGACATAGAAAAAAATATCATATCACCGTATCTCTAATTTATTCATCTTATCTTCAATTGCTTAAACTTGGTCCCCAACTTCTTGTCCTAATTGCTGGACATCGGCTTTGACCTTAGCTTTTACTTCCTTAATTTTTTGTTCTAGGTTAATGACAGCTCCTTGTATGGTTTCAAATATTTTCCGCAGTTAACCAATGTCTTCTTGCCTTTCTTGTTGTCGTTTGACTTCTTCTTTTTGTTTTTTTTTCGTCCTTTAGTCTCTTCTCGTTGCCATCTAGCGTCTTCTTCTTGTTTTTCTTTTTGTTGTTTAACCTTTTCTTGTTGTCATCTAGCTTCTTTTGGTTTTTCTTTTTGTTGTCTGGCCTCTAATCTTGTTTTTCTTGTTATCGTTTAACTTCCTCAATTTTTTATTCTTCCATTTTTGCTTATTATCTCGTAATGGGTATATACTTACAGAATGTTCTACATAGAATAGGAACATATCACTTTCATAACATTACTAAATACAATTTTTTAAAGCGAATCCAACGATATAATATACTACGACATTTTTCTTAATTTTCGTTCAAATATTTCTATTTTATTATGTAGGTAATTTCTTTTTTCTACTTAAAATTTAATTTTGAAAACGAAATTTGGACGTAAAACGATCTGTATAATCCAAAAAACAAAAAATATACAGGGTGTGCCATTTGAAAATCAAAAGTTTCGGTCATTTCCGGTAAAACCGGGAGTCAGGAAAAATTGTCCTAAATACATAAAAATGGCGTTTCGTTGAAATATCAAGCCTACCAAGTTTCGTTGATATCGATAAACAAATAAAAAAATGGCGGCCGGAAAGAAATCTCGTGGGCATATTGGTTCTACATATTATATTATTTTGTAGGTCTGATGATGTTCATATAAGCGAAACACATGTCACTATTAAGTGAATAAAATAATAAACAATCTGTAGACTTGGTAATTTTTTTCTTTTTTTCATTGTTTAAAAATCGGGTCTCCCTGAGAGATATGGACAATTTTTTTGAATTTTCTAAATAGATAAATGACTCAATCATTTCAAATTACTCTATAAAAAATAACATTACTTTCTCCGTAATTGAATGTATTTTTTCCGAATTTGAATTTACTTTGTCCGAAATTAACTTTACTTTTTCTGAAATTGATTTGACTTTTTCCGAAAATGACTTTACATTTTCCTAAATAAAAGTTACTTTTTCCGAAATTGAGGTTGAAATGGTATAGAATTTTTCTCAAAATCTCTTCAAATATCTTTCCTGTCGTTTGATTGAAGTTCCAAACACGTCGGTGAAGTCATAAACCCGATATCTTCCTTAATTTCCAAAAAGAATATTCTAGAATTTTCCCGAAATTCCTCGAAATTATTTGTCTGAATGACGATTCATGTATCAAATACGTCGGGGAAGTCACAAATTCGATATCTCCTTTGGTTTTCAAATAGAATTTTCTAGAACTCACTTGAAAATTCACTATCACAGTCAGAATCGGGTATACAGTCACTTCCGGGGTAATTTACACGATCGGTTAACTTTCTTTTTGTGAAGGTCACTGTTTGCACTGACTAACTGTCTCAGAGTTCACCTAATGTCTACGTTACACTAGTGTCCCGACTATTCTGCAATCGAATTTCACTTTGCAGACGAATTAGGTATATCCTACTTCTGAAACCAATGTCACGAATCTGCTCTGCATTACAGAAATCTTGGAACCATTTATTTCAAAATCAAAGTGCAATTAACACAACAATAATTTATTCCACTACACACTCTGACACTAATTACTTCACTAAATACTAATAACTCAAATAGCTTAACTCTTTACAATAATCATTATCTAAAACGTATCACAACCAATCCTAAACTAAAAACTACTAACTAATACCAGTCGTTAAATATCTGTAATCTATTCTTGTAAAATCCAGAATAAACGCGATAATCCCCTTTTATCAACAAGGCAGTCTTGTTTAGAATTTTAAGCATGAATTCTGTATACCCTGGCGAAAGCGCACCGTCACAGTATGTTTTAATTCAAAGACTCAGACATAATAAACTCTGTGGTCTTACAAAGGCTTTTGTTTCAATTTTTAACAATCTAGTTGAAAATTAAATGTACTAGTAAAATTAAACTATTCACTCATTAAAAAAAATAATAATTTCAGATGCTCCGAGGTGTAAAAACGACAAAATCGTCGTGGTAGGGGCTTCAAAAGGTGAAAACATCGACGTGGTCTGCGAAGTTGAATCTGACCCACCAGTAAAGGTACATTCACATTTACCTTAATTTTTAAATATTGTTATTTTAAATTTTAATGGGGCCATCACGCTTTTCTTTTTTATTGGGTTTCCGAAATGCCTGACTAAAATATAAAATATATGTAATAATAATTTGATAGACCATTCGTTATTCGATTAGAAAAAAAATATTGAATTGGCCGGTAAAAGGAGTCTTTTCAAAACGCCCGCCTTACGTGACGTCATAAAACTCTGACCAATAGTATTATAGTCTCCCAATCTGTCGTCAGAACTAGAAATCAACCAATTAAGGGAGCGTTAATGACATTGAAATTCGTCAGTTCAGTGAAAAATGTATATCTGGTTACCTATTTTTCAGGGTTAAGGTCGTTATGGATTAATTTCGTTCCTCTCTTATTGGCTGTAGTCATAATACGTCATAAAGGCGCGAAAACATTAATTTCAAATAGTAGCAAAAATTCAATCTCAAATAAAATGTTAATGTTTCAATGCATAATTTCAATAACTATATTAAACGGTATGTTAGTGTTATAGAAGTACTTGTCTTACATTAGAAACATTGATTTCAATTTCGCGGGACGGCCCCATTATCCAAATATTTAATTGATTCTTGATCCGAATGGATTGAGTAAAAAAGTAGAATTTTGTTCAACCCAAAGTAGCGTTATCTAGGACAATACATAAAATGACAATTTGTGTATAATTTCTGTTTCTAAACAGAGCTACAAATGGAAATTCAACAATTCCGGCGAAACTTTGGAGCTAGAATCGCAACGATTCTCAAAAACTAGCAACGGTAACGTCAGCATTTTGAAGTACAATCCCACAACCGAGCTGGATTACGGCTCGCTATCATGCTGGGCGTCTAATGTACTCGGCCAACAGCTAAATCCCTGCATTTTTCAAGTTGTCGCAGCAGGTAACAATGTGACTTTACACTGTTTCCTTTTTATTAGGAGCACAAGAACCTCATTATAAATTTAAACACACTTTGTATAATTCGTAACAACAGGTAGTTCGATATTTTAAAATCGAATCGTCCACCAGCAACGTTGCAGAGGTAAGGAATTCTTTACTTTATATCATAAATGAATAATTCACTCCTTTCACAAACAAGGAATATATTATAATAATGAAAATGTCTAAAAATTACACTTATTGATATACTTTGGCCTTGCTTTTAATGTCTTTCCGATGTCTAATTTATGAATTCATCTTTAGGTTCATGGATCTTGTTATATCACAAGTATATGCTTATTATTTAAGAGTAGGTAATCTATTTTTGGGAGCCAATTTCAAGATATTAGACTGTCTTAAGTTAAATGAACCATCCTGTATATGCATGCACCAAAGTGCAAAATTTATTCTAAACTGCCAAACTGGTTTAGAGCGATCGCTCTATGGTCTTCGAGCCTTTTTTTTCTTTCTCTGCCCTCCTAACAAAAAGGAAATAGAATATACTAGAAATTTTATATTGTGTAATAATTGACGTCATTTATATTCATTATAGGCAAACCATTCCCAGTGAAAAACTGCACTCTAACCAACCAAACCAGCAACTCCGTAGAAGTCTACTGCCAGCCAGGTTTTGACGGCGGTCTACCACAATATTTTCTACTAGAAATATACACGACCAGCTCGAATATACCCCAATACAACATTACATCCTACATCGAACCGTATTTCTTTTTGGACAACTTGGAAACGGACGTTACCTTTCGAATTGCGGTGTTTGCCGTCAATGCCAAAGGCAAAAGCTCGTCGGTCATTTTGGAAGAGTTCGTTTTTAGAGATGCTGAAAAAAGAACTGGTAAGTGATCAACATACCTACTAGACACATATAGCGGAGTAATAAGACGAATTAGCTTGTACCCGGTTGCAGTGACAATCAATTATTTACAGTTGACAATCCTGCAGCCTGCAGTCAACTGGTCCCATTGAAACCTATGTGTCTAGTACCCTAGTCCTATCTGTATATCAATTTGAATTTATATTAACATTTTTTTGAGAATTACATTAGAACAATAATGTACTTGGAAATATAAAATATTCCTATTGATTTTATGATTTCCAGCTAGTGATGGTGAGTTTTCTCCAGTGCTAGGAATTCTAGTAGGCGCCGCAGGGACAGTGATAGCAATCGCAGTCTTAATTATACTGCGAATGAGAGATGCGAAAAGTAATTCGCAAGCGATTTTGGATGAGAAAGTTTCTGGCGTTAGTAGGGGACAATGTAACACAATGTCATCCATGAAGCCCTTGCTGAGAGGCTCCTCACCTAGAGAACTGGACGAAAGAGATCCGGATATTATACCCGCTAAGTATGGTGAGTGAATCTTTCTCAACAAAGTTTATAGACTTGAAATCTTCTGAGATGCTGAATTAGCTTACTTATTAGGGTATTTCCTAAGTATAAGCCATAACATCAGGATGTGATTCGTTACGATACAAGAAAAAAAGTTCCGAAATAATGATAGTTGGACTCAAACTACTCTAACACGCCCGAACTACTCCATCTCACCCTATCAACTACTCCAATTAACCCAACCATCTGAATGCGGCACTTGGAATTAATATAACACATTTTTTTCGATAATAATTGGGTTTCTAAAAAAGTCAAGAAGAAGCCCCATTAAAGCGCCCCAAAGGACCCCGCACATTTCTTATGGAAAAGTGATCTATGTGGAATTTTGCTGAATTTTTGATATTGTGTATAGGGAGTCGTCCTTAACAAAAGAGATCATTGCGCTAATGTACCTACAATACCCAACAGTTTTCGAGATATCAATTAAAAACTTTTTTAATTTGATACGCTTCAGTATGACGCACCAGTATGCTCACAGCACTGAAAATTAAAACTATCCTTTTCACTTTTGACTTTGACTACCTATACTTATACTCTTCTCCTTTTAACATTTAGGAAATAAAAAAAACAGGTACAAATGAAATCGCTATATGACAGACATCATGACATGAAATTGACGATTGCGGCAGGAGCTAGGTGTTGTTTGCATACCTACCTATTTGTCACTAATCGCTATCGCTATCTTTTTTTTTTAATTTAAAAGGAGAAGAGTAAAGTCAAAGACAAAAGTGGAAAGGATAGTAATAATTTTCGTTGCTGTGAGTGACGTCATACTGAAGAGTATTTTTAAAAACGTTTTTAATTGATATCTTGAAAACTGTTGGGTATTGAACATTAGCGCAATGGTCACTTTTGTTAAGGACGACTCCCTATACACAATATCAAAAATTCAGCAAAATTCCACATAGATCACTTTTCCATAAGAAATGTGCGGGGTCCTTTCAAATTTTCAAGTAATGTATTAAAAAAGTTATCCCTTCCTTCCTATTTTTTGTGACATCCTGTATAGAACCATTTGGTTTCTGGTGGGACAACCTGTACAATAATACCCGCAAATTTTGTTGCCTAACTTTCTCATAGCTGACTGATCCAAAATGTGATCTGTACCGAAAAAATAAAAACAATTAAAACGGTGCCTAATTTATGGATTCATCTTCAGGTTCAGGAACCTCGTGATGTCACAAATGTGCTTATTATTTTTAGAGTAGGAAATCTATGTTTAGGAGTTTGTATGGCTTCTGGCCTTCTCGTTAGGACTTTGTTGCTTAACTTTTTCAAAACAGACAACAAACAATTAAAACTTTAAGACAAAAATGCATTTTTCGTTTTAATGTAGCCAAACTTTCCTCAACAACAATTCACAATTACACATAGAATCATGCTAACTAACTCGAGTTCATTTGTATTCAAGGGGCTGCAGAGAATGAGGAAAATCGTTTGGGGGCCCTCAACGGTTCCCAAGCGTCAACTGCCGTCAACTTCAGTTATCCTTCGGACGTTCCTCTTGTTAGAGCAGGTCCCAAATGGAATGACTCTGCAGAACTGGTTAGTCAGGTATTAATTAGTTAATTACATCTCTAAAGTGGTTTTGTTATTCTTAAACTAGAAAACTTATGTGTTTTCCTAATGATTAACAAAATACTCAATACATAATATATCCTATTCACAATCTGTAGTCCAAAGTTACAGGTAAATTTATCACCTTTCCTTATCAAGTATCAAATAGCAATGAAAGGTGATAAATTTTACCTGTACCTTTGGACTATTATTTATAACGAGAATTTCTCGTAGATGGAGGCGTCAATTGTTATCATTAAACCCGGTCAAGAACAAAACCTATTATGATAAATGGATTTCAACAAAACGAAAAACCAAGAAAGTATTGACATTGAAACTGACGCCTGAGAATATACTCATAATGTTTGTGTGCCTTACATTTTTTTTACTTCAGGATTTCGGTGCCAATACAATTATGTACATACTTATAAGTTTTGTCCTGTGAGTAGCTAATTTACACCTTTAGTTTTTAATTTTAATATGATGTTTTTTAGTTCGAGAAGTACCTATTGTGCTACATGCAGCAAGCAGGTTAAACATTTTTAACGCTGTAGGTATTATCAGAGATTGGATTTAAATTTCCTTCAAAAACATCATTTATTGTAGAAACTTCACTATGTGAGAATTGAAAAAAAAGAAATAAAACGGAGTCTTCTGAAATGGAGAATGGAGCAATTCACAGATATGTGAATTAATTCAAGAATTACAACAAAATAATGTTAATATTATGAAAAAGTCAATTGAATTGTGCTTGTTGTTTATTGAAAAATGTTGCAAAGCCACTTGTTGAATTCAAATCATACATACTTTGAAATATAAATATTGGGTGTCCAAATGTTTTTGCGAATCATACAAACTGTAAAATATAAGTCTTAATAGAAAATTGGTGTATCTAACACATACTCTAATGGTATAAAATTTTCAACTTATCGGGCTTCCTCATGCCTAGAAAAAGTGTTGGCTGTGTTGTAGAGGTAGGTATAAATTTAATTATGTGATAATTAAAAAATGTATATACATTGTCTGTATTAATAATAAAATATTTTAAGAAACATAGAATTTATTTATTTTTCCTGTTATTTTTTTATTTCAGCTAATTAGGTATACTCTTAGCAAAGAAAATATTCAATAGTCAAGAGTCAGATTCACTTAAAGTTGAATAAACTGCAATAAAAGTTTAAATCAGGTCAGAATTGGAGAAAATTAATCAAGATCTGAAACAACAAATTAAACAAAACTTGAAAGATGCAGCAAAAAAAGATGATGTCTCTAAGCTGGACTCCGAAATACTCCAACTGAAACAGCCGCTGGATGACATCAAAGAAACACCTAAAGCAATCTCTACAACTGTTAGAATATAAAAACTGATCAGAAAACTAAAAAAAAAAAAACATAGAACTGAACTGGGTCACATAAACCCTGTAAATACACCTAGATCACCTCGACCACAGCACTCAACAACCACCACCACCACCACAAAAACAAAAACAAATGGAAACATAGAAGCCACACCAAAAGGATGTACCCCTCAGACCCTCTAGAGACTATCAAGGGAACAACGGAAATATTATTTCTCTAAGGAAAAACCGCCATTCCTTATAGTAGGGGAGCTGGCCCCGAATCTAGTGAACGAGAGTTATCAAAATTTTAATTTGCGCTATCCGGGTAGGCCAAAACCGACACTTGTGTCTAAAGGACACCTCGACTCATGTGTTGTACACATGCGTTAAGTATGCGCGCCATATTCAAATTGAGTTCGCGTGTTTTATTGGGGGTAATACCATGAGTGCTTCTGATATTTCCGGAAAAATTTGAAAAAACGAGTGACGAGAGTTATTGTTGCTGGGTTCCTTCGACAGGTAATATTTTGCAGAAATAAGAACCCACTTGTTCAACTTTACGTTTTTAATTACGAGAAAATAAATGCTTGCAGAACAGTACAATTTTACGAGGCAGAATGGCTGACTATTTACTAGTAACGGCCCTCGGCAACCGCTCCAAGCTCCGCCCTTCAGCTCCAATATTCCTACGCCGAGTGACATATGACAAGCGCGGTGGCGCCAAGTTTTCAGGGCTTTAGCCGTGTTGCCATATCTAATAATATGATACTAATACATATAAATGAAATAAATCCTTAACTCTAACATAACCGCCCCTCTTGAAAGGCTGCGGCTTTCAAAATAGATTATCTAATCAGTTAATATTAAGTTACACATCAGTAATTTATAAAAACAAAGATTCAGAGTAACTTAATAACTAAATCCTAAAGAAAAACTTAAGCTATGTCTATAACATTTCTTAATTCTATCCTAATACAATTCTGAAACTACTCGAATAACAAATATTTTAGATTCAATCGAATTAAAATTTATGAAAATCCGTTTCAAGTCATTCAATCGCCTTTAAAAGCATAATTGCTTATTTTCACACTGGCGATTTCACTTTAGCACTTTAATTAGCAATTGGCAATAAAGACAACTTATTTACCGCACGCTTAACAACACCATTTCTAGTTTTCACACTGACCACTCTGGTGATATTGTCACTGCCGGGATGGATTTCAACGATTCGGCCTAAAGGCCAACACATTGGAGGAACATTTTCCTCCTTAATCAAAACTACTGAATTAAGGTGGAATTCGGGAGGTTTATCAAACTGCCATTTGTTCCTGACTTGTAGCAAATGGAGATATTCCTTGCTCCAACGAGTCCAGAAGTGCTGTTTTATTTGTTGTATGTGAAGATAGCGTTTCACATGATTAACCTTTTGATCTGTCAGACAATGTTCTGGAACTGCTGTGAGTTGCTCTCCGATTATAAAATGCCCTGGTGTTATAACTTCTAGGTCGTGAGGATCGATTGAAACAGGGATTAAAGGCCTGGAGTTTAAAATTGCCTCGATTTGACAGGTTAAAGAATAAAATTCTTCGTAGGTTAAATGAACGCCTTTGAGAACACGTTTTAGGTGGTGTTTGCAGGATTTAACTGCGGCTTCGTGGAGACCTCCAAAATGAGGCGAACGTGCTGGCAAGAAGTGCCACTTAATTTTTGAATGATTGATGTAACCCTGAAAGTTACCTTTTTCAACTAAATCTTGCACCGAAATGATTATGTTATTTGCGCCAACAAAATTAGTGCCGTTGTCTGAAAAAATATCCTTGCAAAGGCCTCTACGTGATACGAATCGTTTAAGCAAATTCAGAAAGCCGTCACTAGTTAAATCTGTAATAAGTTCAATATGAACTGCTTTAGTTGAACAGCACACAAATACGCATATGTAACCTTTAACTAATTTATTTGAGCGTAGTTTGCTAGCTCGTAATTCGTAAGGACCAGCATAATCAACCGAAATTGATAAGAATGGTCTTGACGGACTAACACGCTGTTGAGGTAAATCTCCCATTTTGGGATAAATATTGGGATGTGGATTGGCTCTGAAACATTCAACACATTTGCGAACTTGATACCTCACGGCATTTTTGCCATTGAGAGGCCAGTACTTTTGTCTGACGTGTGACAGTGTGCATTGTGTGCCTGAATGTAAAGTACGTTTATGTTCGTATATAATAATCAATTGAGTAAATTTATGATTTGTTGGTAATACTATCGGATGTTTAGTGCCATAATGGAGTCCTGAATTTTTAAGTCTGCCGCCAATTCTGATTATTCCGTTTTCGTCAAGAAAAGGGCAAAGCATTTTTAACTTACTTTTTTGAGGTATTTGATGAGATCTTTTCAAAGAATCAAAGTCTTTAGTGAACCTTTCACTTTGTACTAATTTTATGAGTGTGATCTCGGACATTTCAATTTCACTAATTGATAGACGCTTTTCCCTTCTCCGACCTTCTTTTGGTAATTTTGAATTGTGACAAAACCTTAAGCAATATGCGACAACGTGAATTAGGGTTTTCAGATCAGAAAATAATTCAAAAATATTACTTCGATTATTTTGAACGAGCAATGATATAGGTTTGACTTCAGGAACGTCTAACAATGAATTTACATGAAAAGAAATATTCGAGTTTTCGGGCCATTGTTCAGGATTTGTAAGAAACTTAGGTCCGTGTAACCATAATTCAGAATTGATGATTTGTTTCAAACTTGCTCCTCTACTAAGGATGTCAGCAGGATTTTCTACTGAAGCTATATAATTCCAGTTTTGAGTTCGGGTGTATTGTTGAATTTCTGCTACGCGGTTCGCGATAAATGTTTTCCATGTTTTTGGTTCTTTTGCAATCCAGTTCAACACAATAGTGGAGTCTGTCCAAAAATATGTGCGAGAGAAACTTATTTTCAATGCTTCGACGCATTTTACTAAAAGCCTAACTAGAAGTAACGCACCTAAAAGTTCGAGTCTAGGTATACTTTGACATTTAATTGGACTTATTCGAGATTTAGCGCAGAGAAGATGACTTTCGATGTGCCCGTCGTGGTCTATAGAACGAATAAAGATGCAACCTGCATAAGCGCATTCGCTCGCATCCGAGAACCCGTGGATTTCAATAACTCTTGGATATTTAACTAACACGTGGCGTGGGACCTGCATTAAACCAACTCGTGATACTTCGAATTTTAATGTAAGCCATTCAGAAATTAAATCATCGGGTATGTTCGTATCGTCCCAATCTATATGAAGTTTCCAAAGTTTCTGTATTATTAATTTGGCACGAATTGATAACGGCCCTAATATTCCTAAAGGATCGAAAATTTTCGCGACGAACGATAAAATCGATCTTTTAGTTATGTTCTGAATTTCTCTATAGACGCTCGGAGAGTTATATTCGAATTTGTCTAAATGTGGCACCCAAGAAACACCAAGACTTTTAACAGAAGAATCATCCGAAATTACGTAATTCTGGCCTTCACGAATGTTTTGATTGATATTAGAAATTAATGTTGAGTCGTTAGATTGAAATTTTCTAAGTTCGAATCCGTATTCTGATAAAATCTGACCGAGATTTTTTCTAAGCTTGTCCAAGTCTTCGTAACTAGTGGAACCTGTCAATAAATCATCGACATAAAAATCGGATCGGATTATATTACTTTCGATTTGATAAGTTTTGTCATTATCTATGGCTATTTGTTGCAAGCACCGTGTTGATAAGAAAGAAGCCGAAGCTGTGCCATAGGTTATCGTATTAAGTTGAAAATGCTTGACTTCCTCCTCCGGTGAATTGCGCCAAACGATGCGCTGTAAATTGCGCTCATCTTCGTGTACCAAAATTTGTCGGTACATTTTGGCTAAGTCTCTTACCAAAACCACGTTATGTTTTCTGAAACGCACCAGAATTGAAAACAAATCATTCTGTATCGTAGGGCCTACCTTCAAAACATTATTTAACGACAAATTTGTAGACGTTTTACAAGCAGCGTCAAAAACTACTCGTAATTTTGTAGTTAGACTACCAGGCTTCTCTACAGAATGATGAGGTATGTAAACGATTGGGGTTTTCGATTCGAGATCGCGAGATATCTCAGACATATGACCGAGGTCCTGATATTCAAGCATAAAGTCCTTGTATTGTTTCTCTAATTTCGGGTTTTTTGATAAACGTCTTTCCATAGAATACAAACGATTTAACGCGATTTTTTTTGATTCTCCTAAGTCAATGAAATTACCTTTTAACGGGAGCTTAACGACAAACCTGCCGCATTGATCTCGCGTCGTGTTTTTAATGAAATGTTCCTCGCATTCGAGTTCTTCCTGAGACAGTGACGCTCGTGGTAAAGGGTTTTCTACCTCTTCTACAGACCAGAACCTCTCTAGGCTTTGCTCTAATGTATCTTGAGTTTGACTGTGATAAGAACTTGTCAAAGTAACGTCCAGTTTGCCTTTTGCTTCGCCACAGGGCAACGGACCCGATATTATCCAGCCTAAAAGCGTTTTTTGAAGAATAGGGAAACCTTTACCCAATCGAAACTGTCCCATCGTAATCAATTCAAAAAATATTTCGCAACCCATCAGCATGTCGATTTCCG